AAATGCTGTCCATATCCATGATTCTGTGTCTGTTCCTCCTGTTTGCTTAGTTTGTTTTTTAGATTCAGTTGTTGACAGATATGTATTTATTTTCATTTTATTGTTCATAGTTTTGATCTTCTTATTTGTATTAAACAATCCCTTTAACATTTCATATAATAATGGTTTGGTAATGATGAAGTCCTTTAGTCTTGTCTGGGAAGCTGTTTATTCTAAATGATAGCTTTGCTGGGTAGAGCAATCCTGGCTGTAGTTTCCTGCTTTTCATGACTTTGGATATTTCTTGCCAGTCCCTTGTAACCTGAAAAGTTCCTTTAGAGAAATCAGTCTTTTGGGAATTCCCCTGTAGGTAACTAGCTGCTTTCAAAATTCTTTCTTTATCTTTAACCTTTAATTATGATGTGTCTTGGAGTGAGCCTCTTCGTATTGATCTTGTTTGGGATTCCCTGTACTTCCTGGACTTGCATGTCTATTTCCTTCACCAAATTAAGGAAGTTTCCTTTCATTATTTTTTCAAATTGATTTCCAATTTCTTGCTTTTTCTTTTCTCTATCTGGTACCCCTATGATGCAAATATTGGGTTGCTTGAAATTATCCCAGAGTCTGCTTACGCTATCCTTGTTTTTTGGATTCTTTTTTCTTTTTGTTGCTCTGATTGGTTGTTTTTTGCTTCCTTATGTTTCTTTCTTTTTTTAAAATATATTTTATTGATTATGCTTCCTTATGTTTCAAATTATTGATTTGATTCTTGGCTTCATCCACTCTACTGTTGTTTTCCTGTAAATTGTTCTTTATTTCAATTAGTGTGTCCTTCGATTTTAATTGGATCTTTTTTGTACAGTTGAGATCCTCACTAAATTCTTCAAGCAACCTTATAACCACTGTTTTGAACTCTGCATCTGATAGATTGCTTATCTCCATTTCATTTAGTACTTTTTCTGGTGTTTTGATCTGTTCTTTTATTTGTGCCATGTTTCTTTATCTCCTCACTTTGGTAGCCTCCCTGTGTTTGTTTCTATGTGTTAGGTAGAACTTGTTTGACTCTTCATCTTGGTAGTGTGGCCCAATGTAGTAGGTGCCCTTTAGGGTTCAGTGGCACAGCCTCTCTTATCACCCAAGCTGGGTACCTGATGTGTGCCCTTCATGTGGTCTGAGTACACCTTCCTCATGTAGTTGACACTCCATTGCTGTTTGCAGGTCAATGGGAGGGATAACCCAGGCCAGTCAGCTTCAAGGACTGGCTGTGACCACTGACCACCAACCTCCACCCTCTGTGGAAGATCAGCTGTGTGGGGGCAACATAGTGGTGCTCCAATGTGGCCTGTAGCTGTCAACTGGGTGCTCAGACTCTGAGGTTTCCCAGGTGGTGCAGGCCAAGGAAAGCCCTCACCTGTGTTTTGTCTGGGACCATACTGCCTGAGCTATAAAGCAATCTGACATGTCTGCTACTTGTGCTGGGCTTGGAGATTCCTAGGCAAAGCCAAGCTGTGAATCTAGGCTGACTGCTGCTAGTGCCAGGCCTAGGGCCCCTTATTGAGTAGCACAGGGGCTGGGTCCTTGGTGAGACTGGCTTTTGCTTGTTTGAGAGGATTTAGAAAGTTGTAAAACATGAACCAAGACCAGCCATCCACATGGAAAAGTGATGGTTAACAACTTGGGGGAGGCCATATTGGTGGGACGGAGTCTCAGAGGACCTCCGGGGTGGGTCAAACAGTGTTAGCCAAGTTGATGGAGTCTCAGAAATAGCATCTGCCTGTTAGCCCTGTGGCTCTGTGCGGGGAGGGTTCAGAAAAGAGATAGTGAGCTCTGTCTGCCTTTCTGTCTGGGAAAAAGCTGTCCCCCAGCTCTTGCCTTGATGCCAGGTACTTTAGTTACTCCCTGTTTGCCACTGGTGCCTTTCAAGCTGCTACCCCAGTACTAGAGCTCAGAGGGTGTGAGTCTGAGTAAGTTCATGTGTGAGTTCTTTAAGAGGAACTGCTGGGGACTTGAGAAGTTCTTTCCACTAACTCAGTTCCTACTGCTTTTTATAGCCAGAAGTTGTGGGAAAGTTCCTGGCACTGGAACCCTGGGCCTAGTGTGGGGCTGGGACTTTTCACTCCTGAGACGTCCTTCACAAATTTTTATCCACCACACATGTATGTGGGACCAACCTGTTCTGTGTCTCTGCCCCGCTACCAGTCTGGACAGATGTGGTTTCTGCAATTCCGTAGTTGTCAGACTTCCATTAAGCTTGATTTCTGATGGTTCTTAGTAATGGTTGTTCTATGTTTTAGTTGTGGTTTTGATGTGATTGTGTGAGGAGGTGAGCCATGTTTATCTATGCTGTCATCTTGACCAGAAGATAAGGTACATTTTAAAGATTCTCTATGTTTTATTGAAAAAATAGAAACATGTATTTTTCCCCGATTACAAAGTTACACATGTTTACATCTGATAAGGGGTTAATATCCAAAATAAAACTTATACCACTTAACACCAAAAACCCCTCCAAAAAACAAAACCAACCCACACAATTAAAAATGGGCAGAGGACCTGACTGAACACTTTTCCAAAGAAGACATAAAGATGGTCAATAGACATGAAAAGATGCTCATGTCACTAATCATCAGAGAAATACATATAAAAACCACAGTGAGATATCACCTCACAGCTGTCAGAATGGCCATCATCAATAAATCAACAAACAACAAGCACTGGTGAGGATGTGGAGAAAAAGAACCATTGTGCACTGTTGGTGGGAAGGCAGATTGGTACAGCCACTACAGAAAGCAGTATAGAGTTTTCTTAAGTTAAAATGGAAACTTCCTTATGATCCAGTGATTCTACTGCTGGGGATTTATTCAAAGAAACCCAAAACACTAATTGGAAAGAGTATATACATTCCTATGCTCATTGCACCATTATTTATAGCAGCCAAGATTTGGAAGCAGCCCAAGTGTCCATCAATAGACAAATGGATAAAAAAGCTGTGGTGTGTATACACAATGGACTCAGCCATACAAAGAAGGAAATCCACCATTTGCAACAGCATGGATTTATCTAGAGGGTATTATACTCAGTGAAATAGGTCAGTCAGAGAAAGACAAATACCATATGATTTCACCTATATGTGGAATCTAAAGAGCTATAAAAACAAACAAAATTGAACCAGACTCATAGACACAGAGAGTGGTCAGATGTCTGCCAGAGGGGAGGGGGGTTGGAGGGACTGGGCAAGAGAGGTGAAGGGATTAAGCACAAACTGGTAATTAGAAAATAGTCACGGGGATATAAAGGAAAGCATAGGGAATATAGTCAATGGTGTTGTACTAACTATGTATGGTGCCAAGTAGGTACTGGAAATATCAGAGGGAACACTTTGTGAAGTATATGATTGTCTAACCACTAAGTTGTACACCTGAAATCAACACAACATAAAAGTGAAGGAAAAAAATAAATTTTTACACAATTAAAGTTACACATGCTCATTATAATATTAGAAAATACAGATATGATAGAGTTGGTGACATTGTACGGTATTAATGTAGAAGTAATAGCAGCTTTCCCCACCACTAGTCTAGTCTCTTTCTTCTGGCTCTGCAGCCTCACCTCAGGAAAGACGGAGGTTAGGATCTAGTGTTTTCTGTGCTAATTGAGGAATGTGAGGCTGCAGAACTGGAAGAAAGAGAAAGACTAGACTGGTTTCTAGTGGAGAGAGTGCTGACCTATTGGAAGAATGGAACGGATTTCAGAATGAGTGTTTGGGGTGGGAAGGAGAGGAAGAAGACTGGAGTTCTGTGTGGAACTGCCAAGGAGCAACATTAAATTGCACATTGAAGGAAGTCTCCCCAGATTTCATCGCATCTAAAACCCCTTTCCCGTCTTCTTCTAAAGGTTCCTATACAGGCTTAAATTGCTTTTCAATGTGTTCTTTTGGATGCTTTTGCATGCAAAACTGCGATGAGACTGTGAAATACCCAGTTCTCTTTGGGTTACAAAGAGAAAGAACAAAGAAGAGAATATAAAAAATTCATAATCCCATCTTCAGAATCGATTAGGTTTTGAAAACATGGTAATTTCACATTTATTATCTTTTATTCCTCCAAGGAAAGCAAGCACTTCAGAAAATATGTCAAGGTAGAAACTTACTATCCACTGGCTTCTCTGGATAACGGGACCCTAGTGTCATCACTGGCTGTCTCCACTGTGCTTCTTTCTGATAAAGGCCTTCCAGCTGTTGGACCTCGTGGCCAGGGCTTTAGGAGCAATCTCTGAGGACCTGAGACACCAACCCCTTTTTCTCCTGTGATAGAGAATTCTCTTCCACATAGAAAATAGTTGACCAATCACCTTTAGCTTAAATGATTACATGGAGCTTCTAGTTCCAAATAAAACATGGATTCCCTTCTGTAACCCTGGATACACTTTCACGAAAACAAATAAATGGCAAAAATCTTTGACTATAAAATGCTACATGATTTCAAAACATCCAAGGCTAAATAAGGGCAGAGCCTCACTCAAGATACCTTTTCAAAAGAGTTGAAAGGAACCTTCCTTAGAGAAGCTCACATCTTTCTTCTACCTGGACCTTTTGGTTTCTGGAGGTCTATGCCAAAATATTTCCTTGATGTCTTTTAGATGATTAACCCTCCCTCAAGTTTCTTTCTCCTCTTGATCCTGCACCCAAGTAAATTTTAAATTCTTGCTGTTTTTGACAAGAGGGAAAATTGACACAAAAAACATTTTATGACTGAAAATGCCCATAGAAATATTGTAGAGTCCTTCAAAAATTTTAATAGAAATTTATTGTTATTATTTATTTATTTATTTAATGAGCGAGGGGAAGGGAGGGAGAAAGAGAGGGAGAGAAACATCAGTGTGTGGTTGCCTCTCACACACACCCTACTGGGGACCTGACCTGCGACCCAGGCATGTGCCCTGACTGGGAATGTGCCCTGACCCTTTGGTTCACAGGCTGGTGCTCAATCTACTGAGCCACACCAGACAGGGCTTTTTTTTTAGGGGAGACCATGAACACAGTCCCCCACAACCACAAATTATGCAGTCAAGTCTCCCACATTTGGGGAAATCGCAGGGGTCAGGACACCCAAAGTGCAATGGATAAGCCTCATCCCGGGAAAACCACAATCGTGATCATAGTGTCTCCCCCAGCCAGGTAAATATTATTATTTTTATTTTTTTTTAAGAAAGGAGTAGAGAACTAAATGTTTGTTCTGGCAATCTTTAGTTTCTTACCTTTTTTTTTTTCTGTGGTTACCCCTTCTCCTCTTGTCCATTTCTCAACAGCTACTCTTGACTTGCAGGGAATTTTTACCTGAAAACCTGTATTTTTTCCCTCCCATAGCTCCATGGCATCTGATGTTACCTTTAATATCATCTTGAGTTGTCTCTGTTGCATGTTAGTTCAACAGATAGGTATTGAACAGCTCCCATTGCCAGGTGTGTCTCTCGGGACTGGAGATAGATGTGAAGATCACTGAGGTCATGGTTCCTGCCCTCGATGCTGGGAGAGGGAAAAATCCTGCACTGATTCTCTATGCCCAGTCCCACCAAACTGTCAACAACCCTCACTGTCATACAGACATGACAGTAAGTGCAGGGGCTGGGAAGGACACCTAGATTGGCCTGACCCTAACGATCTGTCTGTGCCCTTTACACTGTGCTTCACTGCCCCAGACTTGTCTGGAAGGCTGAGGAGCAAATCATCACAATTTGGGCAAAGAGAACTGCAGTTTTTGGAAAATCCTCTGTGTGGCTAGCACTTTAGATATATGGTTTAAAGGAAAGAAAGCTTAGCCATTGAACTAGTCTTTGCACTTTTTATGTGGAGAGAAGATTGTGATGTTTTATAATTGAAGGAGCCAGGTGCATATTAAAAAATTTTTTTGTTTATTTTTTGAGAGAGAGGAAAGGAGGGAGAAGGGGAGAGAACAATTCATATGCAAAAGAAACATCAATTAGTTGTCTATCGCATGACCCCAGTTGGGGGCCTGGCCCACAGCCCAGGCTATGTGCCCTGACTGGGAATGGAACTGATGACCTTTTGGTTTGTGGGATGCTGCCCAACCCACTGAGCCATGCTGGTCAGGGCTTAGGTCCAAATTTAGAGAAAAAGAGTAAGAGGGTGGAGGAAAGGGAGCATTTATGATGAAGTGATGGCTGAGGGTAGAAAGTTAATATTTCAAGACTCAGCAGAAGAGAAATGGACAAGATGAAGAGAAAGTGAAGGTGCTTTTCTCCTAAGCGAGTCGGTACAGCATTTATCCTGAGGTGAGCTGGAAGGAGGAATGATGGATGATGAGATGAGTACATTCAAAGACTGAGTGTAGAGGCTTCAGAGGATTTGTCCCCAGGCAGGTTTTCTCAGAGGCCAGCAGGTGCTGTGATGACGGTGACATTGGATAATCTCATGTGAGTTTGTCCTAAACACAAGAGGTACACTGACATACATGCAGTAGGTGGGGTGGGGGCATCTACATGTTCAGTACCCCCTCAACCTATACCTATAGTCGTCACCTAACACAAGCCAGAACAGAAAGTGAATCTGGGTCTCAGGGCAATGGTAGGATCCATTTAGAGGGGAAGAATTTCAGGTCAGTAGAGACCTTCCTGAAGAGAAATGATGATGAGGCCATGGTTACCTGCACAGTCTAAGTACCAACTGGGAGTGTGCGGAGGAACTGCCTCTGCTCTTCCTTGGGGGAAGGAGAAAGATGATTAAGTCATTAGTTAGACAAAGCAAGAGCTGACAACAATGATAAAGCATTGGAATATCTAAGGAAATTTTTCTGGTGCTGCTATAACTGCAATATTTTATACTTTAAGAAAGGTGAAGTCAACTGATTTGTCTTGCTGATTATATGAAGCATTAAAAACCTATTTAATGACACTTGGTTATATTGAATGGTGTGGTTCTCCTCTTCAAATCCTCCCTGCTGGGAGTGTGTCTCCTGGGTGGTCCTGTTTTCCTCATTAGTCATCTGGGAGCAACCAGGGAAGTGAGTTACAGAGCTGGAAAGGCATGAAAAAGCCCCTCTGGGACTTACTGAGGTTCCAGGAATGGCTTGTGCAATTTTGTCCTTCTATCTATAGGACATTTTGCTGGGACTAGTTTCTCTTACAAACTGGCTCAGAGCTTTGCTCGAGCTGATCCTGGGCTAAATTGGAAGGTAGGTGTCTGCGGTGCCTGCCTGCCTTTTCTTCCCATGACTCTTCTTCCCCCTCACGTCTCTCCCTGATGGGGGTGTTTCATGTTCCCATAAAGCCCCGTGGTCAATGCCTGTCGACTTAGAAGGCCTGTCTGCAGAGGTGGAGATGATATTTAGCCTTCTCAGTGGTATTAGAATTTTTCTAAGGGCCAGTTAGAAATCCTGATTTGGTTGAACTCCAATGCAACAAATTTGTAATGGTGACATTTTAGGTATCATAGGTCACTGAGGGAAGATTTTTGGGTTAGGGGAAACTTTTGGGAACTCCTGAATTCTGTGATTCTTATCCTGTGATAAACTTTGTACATAGAATCTCTGAGCTCACCAGACTCTGGGATTATGAGTAGCACATGCGAAAGGTTGTGAGTAGCACAAGGCTGACGCTCAGACAGATACTTTTGTTTGTTCCTCTGTTGACCACCAACGAGCAAACAGCCACCTCTGCAGGATGTAAAAGTATCCTGGCACCAACTTAGCCAGTCATGCTGGATGCTTTTACATATCAGAAAGTGATAAAAATGAACCAATGATGCTGTGTCTGAGCAGCAAAGGTGACATCTGGTCTGGCCTGGGGTGAGGCAATGACACTATACCTGCTGGTTTCCGATGGGTCCCGTTCACCAGCAAGCGTACGGTGTGTACAGCCCAGGGTAGGTCAGGCCATTGGAGGTAGAAGTTGTTAAATGGTGGCTGGGCTTGGGATGATGGGGTGAGTTTTGAGGAATTCAGTTTGGAAAAAGATTAAAGAATATGAAAGTGTTTTCATCTTAGTCAAATGAAGGCAATCAATCTGCCTTTTGCATGCCATACACGGGGACCTTAGAAGCGAAGATCAGATAATCCAGGATGGAAGATTGGCTGGAGAACATCCAGCCTGACCTGGATGTGGACATTTCTCCTGCCTTGTCTTGTCTTTTGCTACAAATCATCCTGCAAAGAGTAGGCAACAGCACCTTCAGTTCACACACACTTGAAGGATGGTGACTTCCACGTTATCCATGGCGAAATTCACAGCCAACAATCAATATGTATTTTCAGGCAAAGAACCATCACTCATTTTCTGTTATTGGAGAATCTCAGGCAGAAATGATCTCTCTTGTGACTTGAATGCACAGTACTTTCAACTGCTCTGCCACTGTGGCAGGGAAGAGAGCTTTGCTGAGATTGGCATTTAGCCACTGAAGTTTTCTGAACTGTCGTTTGTGTTGGAGTATCGAAAGCAAGTATAAGTTTTCGGGGGATGGGAAGGGGAAGAGAGAAAAAGAATAAGTTGTCTGTAGGGAAAAAGCTATTTTTGTCATGTGGATGGAAAAAAGGCCACTTACTAAACCCGCCAAGCTCAGGGGAAGTCTGCATGATGGGCCTTACACACTCAGAGGCAGAAAGTTACCACATAGGGTAGTCTGAACATTCCTAGCTGAAAGCTGAGCATGGTGGGTAGTCATATCCTAGGCCTGTAGCTTCCTTGACAAAGGTCAATCTTTATCTTAAGGAAGTCTGGGTTTGTCTTTTTGCATCTAAGATAGTAAACCTTTGAAATGTCAGAGTAATCTCCTTTTCCAGATTCCTGGATGTACGACCTAGCACCAGAGCACAAGACCAAAGGACTTCTCAGTGTTGTCTTGTTCCCCACACACTGTCTGTAGGTGCTGTAAATGTTAACTGTTAATTATCCAGTGCCCACCAATCAAAAGAAGTACATGTCTCTCTGTTTTGATCTTTATCCAATCTCGGACATTTCCCTGCTCTGCTTTTTCCTGCCTCCCTCATCTACCACCAATGAGTTTCACGTAACTCCCCTATGTCTCCTCCTTTGATTTGCATGTATAAAATAAACTGTCAAACTGCCATTCTCTGGAGCATTTCCTCAATGCTCCAGATTTTATTTCCTGGCAATTGCTGTCAGTTTGGTTCAGATAGACTCACAAAAATTCTCTCCAGGTTTGAACGTTTCTTGCATTACAGTTAGCTTGAAGCTGTGTGATTTGTTATCATTGACACTGAGTGTAATGTTGATTTAACTTTTGCACTGGGGTTATTGATTTTCCAGTGAAATGCCAGATTCCAGCCATTGTCTAACAATGACCAGCACAATTGAAATTTCAAACCCAGCATGAGAGAGGAGGAAAGGTTGCCAGAAAATAAGGGATCTTGTCTTGGCTCTGAAGAACTAGCTGGGTGAATTAGCCAAGTCACATTACCTTTGTGGGATTCAGATTTTGCATCTATCAGGAGATAAATGTTGAATATCTGACCTGAAGTGCCTTCTAGCTCTGAGAGTCTTTGATTTTAAGATCAGGGTTGTGTTTTCCTCTTCATTAACATCATAAATGAGTAAAAATGAGGTAGGTTTATATTGAACGACACTAGGTTGTTTCCAGCTCTTTGCTGTGGCAAATAATATACTTCGATGAACTTCAAGATGGAATATATATGTATATTCCATACTTCTGAGAACATTTCTAAAGAGTATATTTCTGGAAGTAAACTCACTAGGACAAGAGTTATGCACATGAACAAATTTTTAATAGACACTGATAAGTTGCCTACCAAAAGCTGTATTGATTTATACTCTGAATGCATTAAAATATTTTTGGTGTCAGGTGATAGAAAAGTCAACCCAAAATGGAAAAAGGAAGTTTAATGAACCTTGTCCTAAAAGGTCCAGCAGGGACTATTTTTAAGCATGGTTGGATACAGGCTCAGAAATGATGTCATCTGGCTGTATTTTCTCTCTCTTGGCCTCTCGGCTCTACCTTCTCTTTGGAGACTCCATCTCAGACAAATCTTCCTTCATGGGATTAAAACAGCTGTGGAGTTATGGGCTTCATCACTGCAAGTTCTAGTCTAATGAGAAACATCACGGGTTTATATCCCAGAAGTTTCCGTCAATGTCTCATTGATTCTGATGGGTTCTGTGTCCGTCTCTGAACCAGTTAGAGTGCTCAGGACCGT